TAATTGCCATAGCAATGATATTTTTGAACTCCCCAAACTGTTGATCGCTAATGATTAATAGATAATCAACTTATTAATATTCATACTGACCCTGTATCCGTACTATCATACACAGCACCCTTTTTTTCAAATTGTTAAACCATATACAGCACTTTTAGTTACCATATCGGTCCTGATATTGGTGATGTGTAGTGTAGGGACAACACATGCTGTAACATCAATGGTAGTCTCTAAAAGGGTCTATACGCTATTGTGTTGATGATCCTAACCCCAAACTGGCCTCATTGCCACCGTTATTTAGACGAAAAGCTCTATTCTGCTTGTGCTATTCATGTGGATAAGCAAGAAATGAACAAGCTTAAGGGCTTTCCACAAAATTATTATCAAGATCATGATGGATCAAGCTCGGGACAAGGCCCATTAAAGCAAAGATCTAAAGCATGTGCGTGTAATAGTGAAGAGATTGGTGTTGATAAGAATGGTGAATAAGTCATTAATAGATCAATAGATAATAATAGAGTTATAGTCATCTATTGTAGATAATTATATGGCCACATTTGTTATATAAAGGATGCGAATTAGTCTAGTTAGCTTCTTTAGTCTTCAACATCCCTTTAATAACTATATATCTCCATATATATAGTTCCCTTAATAGCCTAGTTTTGAATTCTCTATTGTATTCCTTTTTAACTATCTTCATACAGTTATCTTTGTTTTATTAATAAACCATATACTTGTGTCTTCATACATGAACTAATAAACTTGTTGTATATCACGTATGACTCGTGATTGTTGAGAATTTATTGTGTCGTCATGTGTGACTCGTGATTGTTAAGAATTTATTGTGTCATCACATGTGACTCGTGACTTATTTTCCTACAATACTTCATATCTTTATATAGGTTGTATTGTTAGCCTCTTTCGATAAAGCCTTACAAACCTCTTACTAAGTCATTCATATGATGTTCTCTTGCCTTGCCAAATCATAATAAAGTAGTCTGTGATAGACTAATACCATAGTTCTCGGAAGTTGCATTAGAGGTCAACTTTAGGTGTAACATTTTGGTGGTGACTATGAGATCCGGTCTTCATCGTTGAGGTCTTAATTATAGAAGTATTGTATAGTCTCCTATGCTGAATTTGTTTATAGGAATAACCAACATGATCACCAGCATACCTTATATCCCGGTACCGGAGTACAAGTCCGTCAACAACTTCACCAGACTTTTCCAGATTTTTTTTGTATACTCTGTTATCCAATAGTAACAAATACTTCCATCTAATTTATAAAATTTTGGACTTGGTTTGCCATTGAATACCCCATACGTACATATACTGATTGTATGCTCCACCTATTCCAGAGGTTAAAACAAGCAGAAGATCAGCTAGAAGTATATTTTTGTGCCCTAACTTATACGTGTCGATATAACGAAGACCCTAATTTCAGGACTTTAGCAGCTCAATTACAACAAGCGTACCAAAGGACCAATGGGTTTAACTTAGACCCTTTTCTAGTATTATATTAGCAAGTAATAAGTGCCCCAGGATCTACCACGTCCAAATCCGAAGACGATTTAGATCTTGATATATTATTTCAAACCCCACTTATTTTACCAAGAATTCAACCCATGGCCAATACTCAAACTGTCCTAGACTATCTCCAGGCCAATCAACGAGAAAGTGTTTTGTTGAGGATAGAACTGTTCCTGGGAGATGGTACCCAAAATCCACAGACGTGGATTGAGAGTTTTGAGAAAGCCGCCATGGCTAATAAATGGAGTATCTGTCGAAAATAGGAAATATTACCTGCATTTTTACTAAGTAATGCGAATGATTGGCAGCAGACCTATTTTGCCGCTAATCCACCTGCAGCTAACCCAGCTGACCCTGATGGTGATTGGACAGCTACCTCAGATGCTTTCAAAGCTAAATTTTGTACCTAGCGATGAACCAACAAGTGGGTTGCTGAGTTAGATAACCTGAAACAATTGCCGGGTAAGTCCATTGAGACTTATTATAGCAAGTTTAAATGCCTAATTAAGAGGCTAGAGCCTGGTATGAACTTGCAGAACCCCCAGAAATTATTTTATTTCAAGAAGAGTTTGCGTACGGACCTTCTCTCTGTTATTTTTATATATAATCTAGCTGATCTGGACTAAATATTAGACCTGGCACATACCTATGAGCAAGGTAAGATTTCGCTACTAATGCCAGTCCTATTGTTACCAGTGTTACCAGGAACTATGATAGGAAAATAGAACAACTGACTTAACAAATGCAGCAAATGAGCCTCAACTATGCTACTATAGCTTCGGCCCTGGTAATACAAGCGGATAATAAGACCCCCAAACCAACTATGCCTCAACGTGAGTCATCAAGAGTTGCCCATATCACTTGTCATAGGTATAGAGAACCCGGATATTACGCTTATAAGTGTTTATCGGAGCGAGTCCCTAATGGTGAGTGGCGTTACCAACCCTCAAAAAGACCTAATGCCAATAATAGCCAGAATAAAAATATAAATTTTGTCAGAACTGAATATAATGATAAAATTGAGAAAGAAGTCTATATTAATAGGCCACAACCATATTCCACCGATAGAAGAGATCAAAAGGAAAAATTAAAGCAGTCTGAATCTCGGAAAGAGCACGCTTTAAGGAGTAAAGTTCCTAAGATACAACCTCCAGTGGTTGAGGAGGAAGAAGATCCAGAAGACCCAATGGACTTGGAAGACCAGATTCAACCAACAATTCTGGTAAAACAGGTAGTTAAGCGTTGACTACTATCGGTCGTTGATAAACTCCAACTATATGATATTTTTGAGAACCTATTACAAGCTCCAGCTTGGGTTACGTATGGCCAGATATTGCAGTATGCCAACCAAAGACAAAATTTGGCTAAGGCTTTAAAAAAGAGAAAAGATCCTAGCACTGAAGCCAACCATTTAGGAGCTACCAGCCCCCACAAAACAATAGCTATGCATTGTCACGTACAGATCAAAGGAGCCCCAGTAGTAGCCATTTTGGACACCGGGCTGCTGTGAGTATTATCACTCACAATTTGATGAAGAAACTTCATCTAGCCATTGACAAGCCATCTAAAACAGTAGTTGTAACTATGAATAGCAACTATACCAAAGCCTTAGGGATAGTTAGCCATGTTCAAATCTGCCTCCAAGATTTAATAATCTCTATAGACTTACAAGTTATAGAATCCCAGGAAGAAACATTGCTACTAGGGACTGATTGGTTTAGCAAGTCCCATGCCAGATTAGACTTTGGCAATAATAGTTTGCATGTTAGGTATCTAGGTAAACAAGCTACTATCAATGCTACCCATATTAGCAATGAAAGCCCACCACAAGGCTACGAAGACTTCACTGACGAAAAAGATTGGATTGATGAGATGGAAGAAGATGATGATGAAGATCAAGAAGCCTTTTATACAGATAGCAGTTCCTCAGATGAGGTTAGACTTTTCTACAACCCCTGGAGCAATAAGAACCCAGCAGTGTATCTGGCTGAGTCATTAGAAAGCCCTCAAAATAATCAGAAAATCCTTTTTGGTATAAATAAGAATTTAACTCCGGAACAACAAAAGCAAGCTATAAACCTTTTGCATAGAAACATGCATAACTTTGCTGAGAAAATCAGCAAGAGTGGCCAGACAGTAAAGCTGGGCCAGACTAGCCTTGTGTGTCACGAAATAGATACAGGAAATGCTCGCCTAATTAAACAATGTTCTTATAGTATGTCTCTAGATGACCAGGACTTTTTGAAAGAAGAAATCCTTGCTATGCAAGACCAAGGGATAGTAAGCCCTATTAAAAGCCTCTGGGCTAGCCTGGTAGTGTTAGTCCCCAAGAAAAATGTGTCAAAACAGATTTGTGTTGACTATCGCAAGCTTAATGTGGTAACTGAGAAGAACATTTAACCACTTCCTAATGTTAATAAAGTGTTAACCATGTTCGAGAGAGCCTATTGGTTCACTAGCTTGAACTTTGCTAGTGGGTACTGGCAAATTGCCATGAAAATGGAAGACATTAAGAAAACAGCATTCATTACAAAATTTGGTACTTATGCTTTCAATGTGATACCGTTTGGACTCTGTAATGCGCCCTTAACCTTCCAACGGCTAATGAACCACATTTTTGAGACTTCATCAATCACTTCTTGGTGGTTTACTTGGATGATGTGATTATATATTCCAAAACCTTTGAAGAACATTTGGACCATCTGCGACAGTTCTTGCTAGAATAGAAGAAGCAGAATTACAATTAAATTCAAGGAAATGCTACTTCTTATATAACAAAATCTATTACTTAGGTCATATTATAAGTAGCAGAGAAATTCTCCCGCCAAGAATAAAATCAAGCAAATCAGAGATTTTCCCACTCCGGTAACCCAGAAACAAGTTAGGTTTTTCATAGGGTTGGCCTCCTATTATTAGAAATTCATTGAAGGATTTTCAAGTATAGCCAAACCCTTAAATTTGCTTTTAAAGAAAGATGAATCTTATCGTTGGACTAAAGCTCAAAATGAGGCTTTCAATATCCTTAAGGACCGATTGACGACTGCCCCGGTTCTGCAGTACCCAAATTACAATAGGCTGTTCCACCTTTATACAGATGCCTCAACTTTGGAGTTGGGGCTGTACTAGCTCAACTGGATGATGACAACAGAGAGTATGTTGTCACATATGCTAGTAGAAGTCTGAACAAAAATAAGCAAAATTACTCCATTCCAGAATTAGAGTGTCTAGCGGTCATTTGGGCCGTAGAACACTTTTACTATTATTTAGAATCGAAACACTTCTATCTTATTACAGATCACTCCACCTTATAGTGGTTAAGGACTTCGGAATTGAAAGAAAAATGTACCTGGTAGATTATGAGGCTACAATCTTATAAGTTTACTATTATCCACCGTTCAGGCCGAACGTATACTAACACAGATGCCCTTTCTCAGGTTCTTAGGGAAAATGAAGAAACAGTCTATATGATGGACCGGTATGAAGAAATAGAACCAGACGAAGAAGTTTTACAAGAAGTCATTAGAACTTTAAGTCCTAATCCACCACCGGCCACATTGGGTGGGATATACCTCTATCAACAAATTGAATTTACTCCCAATGGAATTAGGTTTGAAGGGCAGATGTATACATGGTACTATGTTGAACACATTAGTGCCCAGTTAAGCCAAAAACCAAGAAGTAAGTATTGGCCATAAAATTAGATAGGACCAACTGCCCAATGTTGGTGTGGTGATAAGCTCTACTCTCCCTCCAATGATTGCATTAAATGCAAGTGTGATCTCCGGTTATGGATAACCATTAAAGGTTGTCTACTTGATGAAATCATCAAGTGCTATTGGTCTACGCCAGACTACCAGGAAGAAAAGTGAGACGTTTGGTCAGATAAAGAAATTGTTATACGAATTCAGACCCTGTACAATGAGTTAGCAGATGATAGTACTACAAATAAGTCACTATCTAGGCTTATGTCTATCCTGAATGTCTTATCCCAAGTGAACAATAGATTGCAGCAGCCATATGAGGGTTCTCTACGTAATCAACCATGGTGAATGCACCAATTGCTTACTCTCACCACCTGACAACTTGATGAACACAACAATTTGAAGAACACATATCTGTGCAATTCAGTTTGGTAGAAGGCACCAAACTCTGTTGTGGGTCTCTAGGTTTATTCTATGAAACCTTTCCATCCACAAATGACGCAAAACTTTGCAAGTCGGTCACTGCAACTGCACAGCGATAATTTGAGAATACATCTAAACTAAATTAAACTAATTAATCTACTTCTTTACCTAATAAATTATTTTCTTTTGTTTTTTTTTTGTTGTTATTTTTTTATTTTTATTTTTATTTTTATTTTTTATTTTTCCTTTTAATTATTATTGTATTATGGACCCCAGTAAATATGCTCAAGTGAAGGCCTTCCTTGAAACAGCCAACTACCTACGAGGCTTTACAGCAAGACAAAAACAATGATTGGAATCCCAAAGTAAATTTTACATGGTGTATAACCACCTATTATACAAAAGAGATCACTGAAAACAAACAAAGAACCAGCTTTTAAGAGTAATATAGCCGCTGGAAATAGACCCAATCTTGTACCTAATGCATAACCATCTCTTAGGAGCTCACCTAGGGATCGAAAAGATGTTTGAAAAAGTCAGGGACCGATATTATTGGCCCCAGATGTACGAACATATTAGAAAGTATGTTCAGGCATATGATGCATGCCAAAAACATGGCAAGAATCGAATTCAAGGTCCTCTGCAGCCAATTGTGGTTGAATCTCCCTTCCACAAGATGAGATTGATTTCGTTGGGCCCCTAGACCTAACAACCAGTGGAAATAAATATATCATTGTAGCCGTGGATTATATGACAAAGTGGCCGGAAGCCAAAGCCACACCAGATACAACTGCTTATCAAACCGCCAACTTTATCTATCAGGAGATAAATTAGTCAACATGGATGCCCGTCCGAAATAGTCTTAGATAGAGGCCTCCATTTCAACAATGATATGATACGATATCTCACACAACAAATAGAAATTAAGCATTTGTTATTAACATCATATCATCCCCAAACCAACGGCCTAGTGAAAAGGTACAACTGTACCTTATGTCAAGTCCTGGCTAAATTAGTAAACCAAGACCAAGAATGGGATACTTTGATCTCATCCATTCTATTTGTCTATAGGACTGCCAAACAGTCTACTACCAGGTTTATACCATTTTACCTTACATATAGATGTGAAGCCAAATATCCTGATATTAATTCAAATCAGGAAGGTAGTAAGAATCTAGCAGATCAACTAACCACAATTATAAATGATTTACCTGTTAAGCGATCTATGGCTGTAAAAAATATAAATTGCTCTCAAAGATGACAGAAGCTTCGTTAGGACCAGAAATTAAAGAAAGTGATGAGGGTCTTCAATAAGGGTAATAAAGTGTTGTTATATGATGCTGCAAAAGCTAATAGCTATTCGGAAAAACTTCTACCGTGATAGTTGGGCCCTTTTATAGTTGAACAAAAAGTGGCGCAAAATGTCTATAAACTGAAAACAATAAAAGGACGTCCCTTAGATACCCCTCATAACACCTTATTATTAAAACAGTATTATGAGAAACAATGAAGAAACTATGGGTAAATATATTATAATCGACCTATTAGGCCATAATGGGTGTTCATTGATGATGTCAATGGAACGATTATGGTTGGTAAATGTTACTGCCGCCAACCATTTAAGAAGGTTACAGAAAGGAAAGCAATAAGTGGTCTGAATTCAGAATCTCTGTGAACCCCTACCACTCATTTGCAGGAGCTCATGATTAAAGAGGGGAGTAAATATTACCTAAAAATTGCCTCCCAATATCCCTATGATCATTGTACGTGTTACCACAGGATATTCAGAGATACTGTGAATTTACTCCTGTTATTACTACAGTAATGATGCATGTGCCAACAACTTAAAGAAGAACTTGATTGGCGTGGCATGTAATTGTTGCAGCAATGATCTTCTTGAACTCTCCAAACTATTGATCGCTAATGATCGATGGATAATCAACTTATTAATATTCGTACTACCCCCGTATCTGTACTATCATACACAGTACCCTTTTTTCCAAATTGTTAAACCATATACAGTGCTTTTAGTTACTATATCGGTCCCGATATTGGTGATGTGCAGCATAGGGACAACACATGCTACGATATCAATAGTAGTCCCTAAAAGGGTCTATATGCTATTGCGTCAATGATCCTAACCCCAAACTGGCCTCATTGCCACTATTATTTAGATGAAAAGCTCTATTCTGCTTGTGCTATCTATGTGGATGAGCAAGAAATAAACAAGCTTAAGGGCTTTCCACAAAATCATTATCAAAATCGTGACAGATTAAGCCCGGAACGAGGCTCATTAAAGACAAAGACCCGAAGCGTGTGCGTGTAATAGTGAAGAGATTGGTGTTGATAAGAATGGTGGATAAGTCATTAATAGATCAATAGATAATGGTTTGGATTTATCTGTACTAGATTTAGTATTTTGTACTAGATTTAGTATGTCTTATAACCTAAATAATTTGACAATTTTATAATTTACTACTCCATTAAATACTATTTTTAAGTATGTTAGAATAGGGGCAATTCTATAAAAAACTTTGATAGCTTTAAATAGTTTTTTAGATTTTATAGAATTTTTTTTATTTCTTTAACTTTTAATTTAGATCATTTTTTATATAGTAATTACTAGTAACCTTAGTAGATATTTTTATTTATAAAAAATTTTTTTATTAAATAAATTTATCTAAAATTTTAATAAATTATAAAGATAAGTTAGCTAATATCAAATATAAAATTAGCTCTCCAATTAAACTAATATACAAGAAGTAATTTCAATTTAAAGTTTTAACTAGTAAATACTATGTAAATATTTTTTAAATTTATATATAAAAAATGTGTGTGATTTTTTTAAAATTTAAAGTAAAATAACTTATTGTAGACTTATTTAATATCAGAGATTTTTTGTAATTAGAATTAGAAGATAAATTTTTATAACTTTCAATTAAAAATTTAAAAATTTTAATCAATAAAATTTTTTTTAATTCTAGCTAAACTTATATAGCTTACTAATAACTTACTAAAAATAGTAATAATTTATAGTAATTTAAAAAAGAGCTTATAATATAAATAATAATTATTACAATATAACTAATAATAATTTTTTTTTATAACAAGCCTCTAAACTATTTTATATAATTAAACTTTTAATTTGTCAAATTTATTAATAAATTATAGTTATAATTGGTTTTAACCTTGTACTAAATCTAGTACAAAAAAAACTACAAAAAATACAAAGTTTAAAAAAATTTTTTTTACAATAATTTTATTATTAATACAGAAAAAAATATTGCCAAATAATTTTTGAATATTTATCAGATTTTTGTATATAAAAAAAAGTTAAGTTTTAAATTTTTCTGATTTTTTATGAGTTTTGAAAAATGTACTAAATCTAGTACAAAACAGTAAATCCAATCCAATAATAATAGAGTTATAGTCATTTATTGTAGATAATTATATAGCCGTGTTTGTTATATAAAGAATGCAAATTAGCCTAGTTAGCTTCTTTAGTCTTCAATATCCCTTTAATAACTATATATCTCCATATATATAGTTCCCTTAATAGCCTAGTTTCGAATTCTCCATTGTATTCCTTTTTAACTGTCTTCATACAGTTATCTTTGTTTTATTAATAAACCATATACTCATGTCTTTATACATGAACTAATAAACTTGTTGTATATCACATGTGACTTGTGATTGTTGAGAATTTATTGTATTGTCACGTGTGACTCGTGATTGTTGAGAATTTATTGTGTCATCACATGTGACTCATAACTTATTCTTCCTACAATACTTCGTATCTTCATATACATTGTATTGTTAGCCTCTTTCGATAAAGCCTTACAAACCTCTTACTAAGTCATTCATACAATGTTCTCTTGCCTCGCCAAATCATAGTAAAGTAGTCCATGATAGACTAATATCATAGTTCCTGAAAGTTGTATTAGAGGTCAACTTCAGGTGTAACAGTACCATTTTTCAATAAAAAAATAAAGCTATCTTTACAATTTAACCAGCCATAAATTGATTTATCCCATTTTACAGGATTATATCTACCAAGAATTTCATCTGAATCTTTGACTTTCATAACTACAATAGTATTTGCTTGCTTATCACATAAATTCCAAAATGTATCAGGAGTAAAACCATCTCTAGTTCCACAAATAAGTAATTTGAACTCATATAGATTATTTGTTATTGAATATGTTTTAATTTTCTTATCAACCCATGTTGCAATTTCTGCTGCATGTTCTTTATTGATAATTGTTGAAAATGGTTCTCTTGATGGTAATGTTTGTTTCAAAATTATACGAGGTGGAAGAATCATTGATGTTATTTGTCGATTGGAATTTACGGCTCTTTCTATTAGGTCATTTCAAAGAGTTTTGCCTAAAATTTGTTGATATGGCTATACATTATCAACAACGTCATCACCAGATATTTGGAAGTAACAAATATGAGGTAAACAGTTTTTTAATATAGTTTTTAAAGTTAAAAAGTTTTTGTTAGTCCAGTTTTCAGGTCCATCAAATAGTAAATTTGGATTTTGTGCGGTTCCCCACTTGATAATATAATTCCAAATTTTTACTTCTTCCATATGCAAATCATCTTGCTTAATAAGAGAGACTAAAGCATTTTCTTGAGGTGATGTAAAATCTTCTGATTCAAAAATCTTATTTGGATATTTTACCAAAAAATTATTGCACCATCTTTGTAAATTTTGAAATTAATTATTTTCGAAGCATTTTTGATAAACCCATATAAAATGTAAGCGAAGCCAATTATCTTTCTTTTTGATTAAATAAATTTCAAGATAGTTTGTCAATTCCTCTAGAAGAAACTGTAAAGTAATAATTATAAGTTCAAAAATAAATGATGCTTCTTGATTTTCTATTAAAACCGCTCCTTTATAAATATTTCTTTATTTAATAATATAGGCTGTATCATCACTTCTGATACATCATATTTTATAAAATAAATTAAAAAGCTTATTAATAATA